CCAGCTCAGCAAGGAAAACCGTGACATATCTTTAGTTCAGTTTGTAAGTCCCATGTGACACTGCCCTAATGCATTAGGCATAAGATGGAACCTTAGCCACTTCTATCAAAGATGAATGAGAAACACACCTGAATTAAATCTCATTTACATGACAGCAAATTACAATTTTGCACATGAATGATTTTTTTTTTCTTGCTGTCATAAAACAGATGAGTGGTCAGGAAATCAATCTGTGAAAACATCATAAACCAGCATTTTCTAATTAAATCACAGAGCCCGTGTGCATAGTGGTAATTAGCCAAGCTGGCACTTTGGAAATGACTGTTAAGATAGATCTATCAAATAAAGTATGGTGAACTGAGGAATATGTAATGGGCAACCTGGTGGTGTTAAACAACCTGAAAAGAGGACATGCTACATATGGAGGAAGACCACATGTTCCACGTCTGGTCTATGGAATTATGCTTCTAAATCTGCAAAACGGTTTTCCTTACTAGTTATGAAAAGCAGGATGCAGCAGTCTTTAAATTCACTTCTGTTTCAAACTGCTTTTAAATTCTCATTTTCCAGAGACTGGAATGCAGCTTAACACAAAAGCTGAAAAAAAAAAAAAAAAAAAGGAAAAAAAAGGAAAATGTTCTAAGCCACAAGATGCATTATTGCAGTGCCACCTACTGCCAGAAACAGGTAATCACTGCCTGATAAAATCCTTGTAGTAATGCAAACCATACAGGGCACCACCAAAAAAAAAAAAAAGAAAAAAAAAAAAAGAATCAACTTTTGTGGAGCCAAGTTAAGCCTAAATCTAGAGCAGTATGGAGGCTACCACTGTTCTCTATTTCTGAAAATGCTGCTGAAATGTTGGCTTGTCAAGTTGCTTTAGTAGTTTAGTTTCCAAGTGACTGGCACTGCACAGGAATAAATCTCACTTCACCTGCTGCATACTTGTTTCATGTCAGTGACTCAATATTATGAAGCCCAACAGACCGGCAACTCGAATTTTCAAGTAAAAGGCAGTAGCAGCCTATCAGTACAGGCCTCTTTTTAGGTAAATTTGTGAAGATAGACATATGAGAGCCGCTATTGCTGATATGTTTTTTGTCTGGCCATAGCATACAATTAGGTCCATATACAGTATATATATGTGGGCACAGGCACAATTTTTATACTTTTTGGCTCTGTATGCCTCCAGAATAAATTTAAAATGAAACAATCCAAATTAATTTGAAGTGCAGACTTTCAGCTTTAATTCAAAGGGTTGAACATAAATATCCAGTACATATTTTAGGAACTGCAGCAATTTTTATACACAGTCCCTCCATTTTCAGGGGCTCAAAAGTAATTGGACAAATGAATTAATCATAAAATGTTCATTTTTAATATTTTGTTGAGAATCCTTTACTGGCAATGACTGCCTGAAGTCTGGAGCCAATGGACATTACCAAAGACTGGGTTTCCTCCTTTCTGATGCTTTGCCAGGCTCTAAACTGCAGCTGTCTTCAGTTGTTCTTTGTTTGTGGGTCTTTCTGCCTTTAGTTTTGCCTTCAGCAAGTGAAATGCATGCTCAATTGGATTGAGATCAGGTGATTAACTCGGTCATTGCAGAACATTCCACTTCTTCCTTCAAAAGCTCCTGGGTTGCTTTTGCGTTGTGTTTTGGATCATTGTCCATCTGTACTGTGAAGCGCTGTGCAATCAACGTTGCTGCATTTGGCTGAATCTGGGCTGACAGTATATCTCTAATCACTGCAGAATTCATCCGGCTGCTTCTGTCAGATCATCACTAAACACCAATGACCCAGTGCCACTGGAAGCCATGCATGCCCATGCCATCACTCTGCCTCTACCATGTTTTACAGATGACGTTGTGTGCTTTGGATCATGAGCTGTTCCAAGCCTTCTCCACACGTTTTTCTTCCCGTCATTCCGGTACAGATTAATCTTAGTTTCATCTGTCCAAAGAATGCTTTTCCAGAACTGCTCTGGCTTTTTTAGATGTTTTTTGGCAAAGTTTAATCTGGCTTTTCTATTCTTCAGGCTTATGAATGGTTTGCACCTTGTGGTGAACCCTCTGTATTTGCTTTCATGAAGTCTTCTCTTGATTGTGGATTTTGACAAATTATATGCCCACCTCCTGTAGAGTGTCCTTCACTTGTCTGGATGTTGTGAATGGGTTTTTCTTTACCATACAGAGGATCCCGTGATCATCCACCACTGTTGTCTTCCATGGAAGTCCATGCCTTTTTATGTTGCTGAGCTCACCAGTGCGTTCTTCTTTCCTCAGAATGTACCAAACTGTCGATTAGGCCACTCCCAATGTTGCTGCTCTCTCTCTGATGGATTTGTTTTGTTTTTAAAGCCTTACAATGGCCTGCTTCACTTTCATGCATAGCTCCTTTGAACACATGATGTAGGTTCACAGTAAGAGATTACAAATGCAAATACCACACTTAGAATCAACTCCAGCCCTTTTACCTGCTTAATTGATGAATAAATAATGAAGGAGTAGCCCACACCTGGCCATGAAACAGCTTTTGATTTGATTGTCCAATTACTTTTGTTCACTTGAAAAAGGGGAGGTGGCTATTCTTAAGAGCTGCAATTCCCAAACTCTTCCTTCAATTTGGATGTACATACCCTCAAATTAAACTGGAGTGTGCACTTTCAGCCCACATCCATTATATAACTATAGCTTGAATATGTTTTGGTAAATACCTGAATACAACTAAAATTATGCCTGTGTCCAAATATATATAGACCTAACCATGTGTCGTTTAAGTACACTTTACACACCTTTTTAGCCACAGTCCCATTGACTTCAGAAAATGCTGCAAAAATGCACAACCTTATAGAACGCACATCAATAGTCCTGCATGCCACATCTTCGGTGCACTTTCAGAAGACACAGCAACACACGACCGTTCACACTACAATGCAGTGCAGGAAACCCATGTTCCATGCCGGTTTCCTGCATCACATTTAAAATCGCACTACCCTTGCGATCTGCAGTGTGTGTCAGTGCAAAGTTAACGACACCCCAAATGCAGGTCCAGATTGCCTGGTACAAAAGTATCAAGCAACCTGGTTGCAGTGAGTTTCCAACAGTGCATGCACTACGTTTGGTGCAGTGCAATTTCAGACCAGACCATTCAAAATTAATGGTCTGAAATCACACTGCATACATCTGCATGTGAATTGCACAGAAACCACATGTTCCTGTGTGATTCAAATGCAGTTCCTAGTATGAAAGTGGAAGTAAAGGCCAACTGTAAGTGTTGTTAAGAATGTTACTTCCCACCTCCTCCTAACTATGCTGCATCGCACGCAGTCACATGATTGATTATCAGCGGCTCCCCTGTGTAAGGGAGCGCTCGCTTGACAACAGCTCTGAATTCCCCAAAGCCATGAGGTCACCCATAGCCTCCCATGCTCGCCTCTAGGACTTTTCCCAAGCTTCTCCCATCCTATGGAACTCCCTACCCCAATCTGTCTGGCTGTCTCCTAATCTATTCACCTTTAGATGATCCTAGAACATCTCTCTTTAAAGAAGCCCATCATACTTCTACCTAGTAAACTGCCATTTATTTCTTCCATCAGCTCATCCCCCACAGCAATTACCTTTTTTATCACTCAACCTGTCCTCCTAGAGTGTAAGCTCTAACAAGCAGGGCCTCTGTTTCCTCTTGTACCAAATTGTATTGTAACTGTAATGTCTATCTTCATTTTGTAAAGCGCTGTGCAAACTTTTGGCGCTATATAAATCCTGTATAATAATAATCCCTACCTTCCCCTACAGGAGCCGCTTGCTGACACAGGGGAGCCAGAGCCTTTGTATCACATGACCGCACCAGAATAGATAAAAAAAAAAAAAAAAAAAAGAAGGAGTTTCCACAACTCTGTTATGAAAGCTATGCAGTATAGGTAGAAGGGAAGAGGCAACATTTTTAACACACTTTCACTTTAAGGCTACGATTACACTTGCATTAGTCTCTGAAAAGCAATTCGCAGTGGAACGCTTTTTAGACAGTGTACCTCCTGAATCTTGACAAGGATACTCAGGGGCAGGTAACGTCACTTCTTGAATGCCTGTTTTTTTTCTTGATAGCTGAACAGGGCATCTAAATGGGAATACCACAATGCAATGTGAGTCTAGCCCTCGGCTCATGGTTGTGGCACCTGCAGCATCTGTACAACTTCACCTGGCTGCCATGTTATTTTAAAGTGATCAGAGGTTAAAACCATGGCTAAAACTGCCTGCTTGAACCCCCCCTCAAACACAAGTGTAAACAAGCCCTAAGTTAACAGAGGCGTTGAATTTTTAAAGTAGCTTTTGACACCCAATAATGCGCCTATAGTGCTAATGCGCGTTTCAAGCATGTTAAACAGGTGTTCATTTTGCCCATCAAACTACCTTGTGAGATTTTTTTTTTTTTTTTTTTTATTATGTTTGTGTTCACTTTTGACACTTTTTCTCTAAATTTTGCTTACCTGAAAATAAGGTCTGGGAATTTATTCCCAGTTCTACATCATACTCCATACAAAAGGCATGTCCCAAAATTAAATCAATATCAAAAGAAAACCCATCTGCATCATATCTTCCCATGAAGTCAGTGGGGTTCTGGACACTAGGCAGGGCAGGATTTAGAAGATAGTCTGGATGGGTAAATTGAACCGTGAAGATCAAGAGCATTTCAGGTAAATGTATGTCATTCCAGATCTTCTGGGGGAGGATGAGCACAAAAGCATAAAGTGCAGTAATCCTATAAGACCATTTTTCCAATTTGTATCCACCAGACTACCAGCATGATTTATATCTGTGTCTATTTCAAGGAGAAGCCAAACTGTTTTCCTAACTGTTGGTTTCTGTTATGCCCCTGGATTGAACAGAATACATCAAAGTAAATCAGTCCCTCTGCTGTCTGCAAGGCCTAAAGCAATGTATTCTCAATGGGCTGAAAGAGACTGGTTATTCATCAATATAAAAATGAGCTTTCACTTACAGCTTCATCAGCAGGATCCGCTTCAGATAAACGGCTAATATGCTTCTTAGGCACCACTAGGAAATGTACTGGAGCTTGTGGAGAGACATCATGGAAGGCGATACACTAGAAAAGAACAAAATAAAAAGATTTAAAAATAGGAATAAACTGACCCAGGGCACTCAGCGATATGTCCGGCTTAACCACAAGCAGCAAATTCTAGACGGTACAAAAAGGGAGAAAGGATGAACAGTCTAGGAAAGGCTCAACATGTTATTTTTAATTACAGCAAACTATTTAAATTGTGCTTCTTAATACAAAGGCCAGTTACAGGTTGGGGTGGTTATCATTTGTTTGTACTGTTGGTGAACTGGTGAGAGGCGCACTGCATTCCTTTGCTGCAATTGTGCCATGGCTGGGTGTCCAGTCCCTATACTGCTAAGGAGCAGTGGGCTCCTTTCAGGCATGTCTGCCCTTCAAATATCCATTATTATATATGTGCTCCAGCTTTGGAGACTCAAAATTTATAGAATTAGGACTGCAGATATACTGGGGTGCCGTGACGTGGCCTCTGCAGTTTACAAATATATTTGCTAAAGTGTGCAAAAGAAATCCCTTGTTTTAACGTGAACTGTTAGGGTAATTTGGTTTGTTGCAGGCTGCCTGGTAAGTGACCTGGGAATTTTTGTTGTTTTTTTTTATATGCATCGGCCTTCCATGTTCTCCTTGCTGCAAAAGCCGGTCATAGATTGGGGTGGTTGCCATGTGTTTGTACTATATAAAATTGGCCCCTTTTTTTCAAAATTTTACATCAGCATGCATCGCTGCATGCGGAAGTGAAATCGCCCCCAAAATTTTTCCATTTACAGGTATGTTTAGTTTTATATCTCCCAACGCCCAGGACATGTAATTCTGGGTGCCGGGCAGGTAGATTTTTTTTTTACCTTTAGCCCTGCTGAGTGCAAGCAGCAGGGTTCACCTGTGAGGTGGAAGCACTCGGGCCGCAGTGCTGCCACTCGATTGCTTCCACACAGCCCAATATGTCTCTCGCCTACGCCCCCACCATGTCTCTCAGGCTCTGCTTGCCCATCTGCAGGCTCGGGACCAGTTTAGTGGCTGCCGGTGGTTATAGGGGAGGGAGGAGAGTGGACACATCTGCTCCCTTCCCTTCTTGTCCTGTCACTTCCTAGTCATCACTGACAGATTTCCAGCCATCAAGGTCGGGAAAGAATGTAATGCAGTGCGATGTGCACTGCATTACATTCAGTGGAGCACAGGGGAGACATGCAGGGTTTTTTTTAGATCCTGGATGTCTTAAAAAAGAAAACCGGTCACCACAAATCATCACATAGGGGACTTTTTGTTCCCTATGTGATGAAAAAAAAAAAAAAAAAAAAAAAAAAAAAAGGAAGAAGGTAGGTAACAAAAAAAAAATGTATTAAAAAAAAAAAACCCAAAATGTTTCAAGGCCCCCCACATATGTACGTATGTAAAATGTAAAAGCACTCGTGGGGTGCCTACACACGAAAACGATGATAGAGATACCCGTTACATATTGCCATCGCACGCCAGAATGAGAGCAATAATTCTAGCACCAGCCTTCCTCCGTAACGCTAAACTGATGACTTATATGGAGCCTTAAAAGCATCGCCTATAGAAAACATAGGGTACTAAAGTTTGTTGCAGTTTCATGAGTGCATGCAAATTTAAGGTTTGACAGGTTAGATATCCATTTACTCGATGCAACCTCATCTGTTATATTTTACAAAAAGAATTGATAATGTATTGCTTTTTGTGCCCTAAAATGCGCTTAAGCGTATTTTTTACAGAAATTTTGCGTTTCCTAGACCTTTGTGATAATATCGTGTGACATAAAAAAAATTGGAACTACCACTATTATATTCTCTAGGGTCTCTGATTTCAGAAAATAAAAAAAAAAAGCATATAGGGTAGATCTACTAAATCAGGTGCACTCAGAGACTGCGGACATAGTGCAGGGGCGACCAGAGACTGCGGACATAGTGCAGGGGACGACCAGAGAGACTGCGGGGACATAGTGCAGGGGGGACGACCAGAGACTGCGGACATAGTGCAGGGGACGACCAGAGACTGCGGACATAGTGCAGGGGACGACCAGAGACTGCGGACATAGTGCAGGGGACGACCAGAGACTGCGGACATAGTGCAGGGGACGACCAGAGACTGCGGACATAGTGCAGGAGATGACCGTTGACCTTTGGGGAGGGAGGGGGAGCGGGTACCTGAATTTGACAGGTACCCGCTCCCACTTCCGCGGAGTTGTCCTGCCTTTAGTGTGGGCACCCGCCTGACAGCCGGGTGCCCAGTGCGCATGCACGAGAAGCGCTGCGCTTTGTGATTGGTCTGCCGTTTTCTGGGACCTGTCGTGTGTCCCAGAAGACGCCGTACCATTCAGAAAGTGCAGCGCTACTCGCGCATGCGCACTGGGCACCCGGCTGTCAAGCCGAGAGCCCACACTAAAGAAGCCGGCGCGGGAAGACTGCGCAGCGATGGACCGAGGAACAGGTAAGGTCCTGCTGCAGAGCTGAGCGGCCGGCCCGGTATTCTGACACGGCGGCGGTGGAAATACCGGACTGGCCGCTCCATAAGACGCACTGACATTTTCCCCCCTTTTTTGAGGGTAAAAAAGTGCGACTTATGGAGCGAAAAATACAGTAACCCCCTATGAGTCCATGCACACGTAGGCTTTTGCCAGAGTTTAGGAGTAGAAGACTTTAGAAGCAGTAAAATGTTCCACTTCTGAAAGTAGAAGAATCATGTTCAGAAGAGGAATGTATTGACAGAAAAACACCAAATGGGGCAAAAACCCGGCTAACCACGTGTTTAGCGCTTGGGTGTTTTTCATTTCAATGGTAAATGTTGGTAAACGCGATACACGTTTACGAGCATCAAGAAAATGCGTCCAGTGTGTATGTACCCTAAAAAAGTGAACTAACTTAAAGGGTGCCACGATTCATTTTTCCCACTGCACTACACATTTGATCATGCCTTTCTCTGCAGCCAGACGGTTTAATGAACGGTCTCATTCACCATATCCTTCCTGTTGTGGACGGAAGGGGAAGGAGCACCATGTAAACAGTGCTACAAGTCAATGCTACAGTGATCATATAACACAAATCAGTTCAGAGCCATTTAGCTAATGCTCTCTGTTGTCTAATGAGATTGGGAGCAGCGGCTTTCTGCAAACGCTGGGCATGAAAAGACTGGTCAAAAACAAGGGTTCACTATGTCCACCCCTTCTTTTACAATGACTGGACATAAGGTGTTAAAGAGCTCAGTTATTCTTTAATGGCTCCATTTTGACTCAAAACACGTTTGTTCATTAAAAGTAACATTTGGCAGAAGGTCACCTATTTCTTCGGCAGAAATGTGAAACAATTGTTACTAGTAGAAAATGTATTCACAATTTCAAGAGCTTATCTTTCCAGTAAAACCTCTGTGTATGTCCTGTAATCGATTTCATGATATAAGTGTAACCTTCGCCCGCAAACACTCCAAGCATTAAGGTTTCATCTCATCGACATGTAGACTTCTCAAGCTGTTTGGCGTCTTCATTGCCAGCAGTATCTAGATGCCAGATGCTATCCTTCCTGTGCAGGTCAGAAAATGATAGCTAGAATTTAACAGGTTGCAATGGGCAACACATCCCTCGTTTTATTTCAGAAGCAACCATCTGGCTTCTCATGAACTAAATATAGTCTCCCAGAGGAGCCTCCAACTTCAACTCAGCAGAGTAGACCTTCTCTACTGAGGATTCTCATATAACAAAATGAACTCTTACTGAAAATGTATGTCATGATAAAATATTATTTAGAGCAAAGAAAAAAAATTGGAGTTCAAAGTAACCAATCATTAAGTGCTCAGACGCAAACGGTATCTGGTTATACTACAACTCCAACTGCTCTCAAAAGGGGAGAAAAAAAAAAAAAAAAAAAAAAAAAAAGGGTAACCTTTTAAAGGTATCGAATTCCTCGTGTACTGAACTGTATTGTAATTGTACTGTCCCCCTCATATTGTAAAGCGCTGTGTAACCTGTTGGCATTATTCAGGATTTATAATAAGAAGAAGAAAAATAATAAGTAGAAGATACTTTATACATTTCATATGCCAAAAAAAAAAGCCTCCTTTCTCACAGTAAGTTTATTATTTTCTCAATGCCAAGAGTGCACCTCGAAAGCCATTTTTATATGTGTGGAAGGTACACGATCACTGGCTGCCCAGTGGCTAGAAAAAAAAAAAAAAAAAAAAAAAAGAAGAACAAAGAAAGATGGTGGATGGTGGTGGAGAGCATGGCCTTGTCATCCTCAGGATGGGTTAGGTCTGCCATAACATGTACATATACTGTAGCCGCTGACTTTAATAAACAGACACTCACCTGCCCAAGGATCCAGCGCTGTCTCATCCAAGCCAGTTTCGTCACCAGTCTTCAGGTCCCTGTTGCCAGAATAACTGAGCAACTGGATGTGACTTGCCGCTTCACAGCCAATTGCTCACTGCGCAAGCCGTGTTGCACTTTGTGAGTGGTCCCATCTCAGACAGTTGGGGGGGGGGGGGGGGGGGGGGGGGTCGGGGGACTTCCGCTTGAATAGCCTAGACAATCCGAGTGAAAGTGGGAGTGGGTACTTGTCAAAACTAGATACCCGTTCCCCCATATAGCCCCCCCTCCCTTCCTTTGGAAGAAGTTCCATATAAACGTTAATTCCACCTTTTGCAGAAAATGTAGAAATGCACCCACATTGATAACAATGTGCATGTATTCATTTTTTGCATTGAACCTTCAAGGCATAGAATCTGCAATGCAATGCACAGGCTCCTACAGACGAGTCCCCCTGGGTCCAAGCCTTTGATTATGTGGATGGGGGATGTTATCAATGGACTACAAATGCTAATCTGTCACACACTTGTGCTCCATTGAGATCTACAACCCCTCTGTTGTGGAATAAAAATGGATCTCAATTTATAGATCTCTGAATGGATGACAGGGCTGTGCAGTCTCTCATAGAGCTTTAGTAAATTATTATACAGTATTTATAAAGCGCCAATAGTTCGCTCAGCGCTGTACATTACAAAAGCGGGACAGAACATGT